AACAAATCTAGCAATCTTTTTCTGGTGTTGTTGGAGACTCTTGGAGACTCTGACATGAAAACACGTATCGTTCTTACTCTTCTCACCAAACAGTGGGTGTTGCCGTGGGCTCATCTACCGCCCCAAAGCACTCACAGGCGGCCAGTCGTCGCGCAGTAGCCCCGCCCAGCTGCAGTCCGAGCAGGAGACGTTCATCCTTCTGCGTCCAGACTGCAAATGAAGCGCGCATGCGCGAAGCTGCTGGCTGATTCTGCCCTGGCTGTCAAAAACAAGTAACTTCGCCAGAGTAATCAAGACATAACTTATAAACGCAAAACACTTTATACTGGAAGATGGATTGATAATGGTTTTATTTTACTCATCTAGTTCCTGAGGATTTGTTTATAGGCAATATGTTTCCTATTCTGAGCAAAGAAGCGACCAACAAACCCATTAGACATATAATTCAGAGGAATATGCTGCAGTATTTTACTGGAATAATCTGTTTGATGACATAGATTGGGAATCTACTTGGATGTTACCTAGGACTTTCATTATTACGAATAAGGGGTGGGAGGTAACTTTAAAGATTCTTCACCGTTGTTATCCAGTGAATTGTAAGATTACCAAATTTAAAAGAGATATAAATGTGTCCTGTTCTTTTGGAGGCATGGGCGTAAATTACGGGGGGGATGAGGGGGTTGTAGCCCCCCCAACAAATCAAAACCAGCTAATACAACCCCCCCAATAATCATGTTTCCCCCGTAATGGGTGGAGACCTCAACCCCCCCAATGTTCCAGCCAAAGTTACGCCCTTGTTTGGATGGTAAATGGTAAATGGTAAATGGACTGCATTTATATAGCGCTTTTTACTACTCTTACGAGTACCAAAGCGCTTTACAGTTATGCCTCACATTCACCCAACCACACTCACATTCACACACTGGTGGCGGAGGCTGCCATGCAAGGCACCAACCAGCTAACCGGGAGCAATTTAATGTAATGCTGATTCATTTATTTTGAGATTGTAGATACAGTAAGATATTCTGGACAGACCTCAATAATTAAATAAACATAGTTGTTGTTGTTTTAGTTCTCTTCTACCTTTTATATCGTCACAGTGAACTATATCCTAACATGTGCTTGTAAAATGTTTGTATATAGTACAGCATTAATAAAAATAATCACAAGCCCGGAGGAGGGTTGGAATTGTGATTTTATATATATATATATATATATATATATATATATATATATATATATATATATATATTATGATCGAATTTTCCCCATAAGAAATAATGAAACACCAATTAATTGGTTCACGACCAATTTTTTTAGCATTTAAACACAAAATGAACCGGATAAAACAAGAAGCATATACTGTACTAAACACATCTAAGCACATTTATCAAAACAGTCATTTGTAAAGTAAGAAAATGTATCCAAACAATGTGTACTGCCCTGATCATCTGCTCCTTCCGTGAGCCACGCCCCTCGTTAACCCCGTGTGGAATCCCCGTGTGATCAGCTGTTTCTGGTTGTTGTCATTAGTCCTCTGTATTTAGTCCACGTTTCAGTTTGTTTCCCCAGTCCGGTCATTGTATTGTCCGTCTGCGTTTTGCCTGCCTTACCTGTAATTAAACCCCGTATTCCCCAATACCCTGATGTCTGCACCTTTGTCTCCGTTCCGTCCCTGCTCAGCCCGACAATATTATTATAATTAAATGTATTAATGGTTTATTATTATTATTAAAATAATTAATAAGAAATCTTTATTTTTAAATGTATTTTATTATATAATAATAATTACTGTTACTGTCTATCATTGTCTAAATGTATATTTACTGTCTAAATATATGTATTCAGCTAGTGTAAACATGCATGATGCTATCACAACAAATGTGAGGCTGAGACTGAAGCGTTACCCTTTGTTTCCGCTGAGAGACGTGTGGAAACACGTCTCAGCGCGCGTACAAGTTATCTTAGGTCAGCGTTCACGGTTTGACTTCTGAGATTCAGATCGAGTTCTAGGTAAAAAAATTTTCAAACTGGTTGGTTCGACTTTTAGGAAATTCGAGTTCTAATGAATTAGAGAACTGAGGTACCACTGTATTATTTTTGCTGAAATGTCTTTCTGCTGAAGAAAAAAAAAGTGATTTTGTGTACTCTATAGTGCTACCAAAATAAAGCATTTGTCAGCAACCTGTTAGTTTTGCTTATAACAAGTGGGTAAGTGGGTTGCTGTCTTTTATGAAACCATATCTTATAATTTGCCATTCTTAACTTTAGACTAATTGTTTAAGTTATTGTGTTATGTCTTCGTTAAGGGAGAATGCAGGGTGGGCAGGAGTGAAATTAATGTGATGTACAAGTTGAGTTCAGTCACAGAAAGTCCATTATGAAAACCTTGTACTACTGGCCTATAAGATTAGCATGTTAGTCCGCCCAGTCCAGCCAAAGGGTTTTATTGTCCTTATTTCTGATCCCTTAGGGAAAGATACCCTTCAGTAGTGCTGGCAGACAGTACACACACACAAAATACAAAAGGAAAACTTTTTCTGAAAGTGAACTTTAATCAAACGACCCACTAAATATCATCAATCAGACAATAATGATCTAAAAAAAAATAATGAAATTTTTGAAGCTTCTTTAGGTCTATTGTAATGTTTCTACTGTACAATTGTACAGATTGTATAGAATCCATGCATTCATAATTTCATTTTTAACTTAAATATATAAATTATATTAAAGACATAGAAAATTATTAGAAAAACAAAAACTACATACAATAATTACCACATGGTGAATTTAACATAAATATTAATATTTTCTTTTCTTTTAATCCTTTTTATTGTATAACATTTGGAGTATTGATTCATGTTTATTCGAGGGTTATCAGTTTGGAGAGAGAAAAAAGAAACAAATTTATAGTAAAATAAATATAGAAATGATTCGTGACAGTTTGAGATGGATCTACATATACCAGCAATGTAAAATCTTACATGAATATGAAATGACACAGTTCTTCTCTTCAAACTTCTCTTCGATATTTACGCAATGTAGGATTTCTTATAACTGAACATTTCATGTCACGTTGCATTCATTAAATGGCAAACCAAGGAAAATATACACCGATCAGCCGTAACATTAAAACCACTGATGGATGAACATTGGTTATCCCATTACAATGACACCTGTCAAGGGTGACATTATATATTAGGCCAGTGAACAGTCAGTTCTTGAAGTCGGAAGAAGGAAAAACGTAGGTGTGTGTGTGATATTTGGGAAGAAGACAAGCTGGCGGTGGCTGTGTGATGATTTGGGCAATATTCTGCTGGGAAGTCTTGGGTCCTGGAATTCATGGGGATGTTTCTTTGACACGTACCACATACCTAAACATTATTACAGACCAAGTGCACCCTTTCATGGCAGCGGGATTCCCCAATAACAGTGGCCTCTTCCAGCAGGACAGTGTGCCCTGTCACACTGCAAAAATTGTTCAGGAATGGGTTGGGGAACATGAAGAGTTCTAGGTGTTGACTTGGCCTTCAAATTCCACAGATCTCAATCCAGTGAAACATTTGTGGGATATACTGGACAAACTAGTCCGATCTATGGAGGCCCCACCTTGCAAATCAGAGGATTTAAAGAACCTGCAGCTAACGTCTTGGTGCCAGATACCACAAGCCACCTTCAGAGGTCTTGTGGAGTCCCGGCCTCGACGGGTTAGAGCTGACTTGGCGGCACAAGGGGGACCATCACAATATTAGGCAGGTGGTTTTAATGGCTGATTGGTGTATATTAAACATCAGCTTTGAATTAGTCTTTTCTGTACACTGGGAATTCATTAAAAACGTTTACATTACTTCCACACAAGTGGGAGCAGTATACATTCAAACAAATGAAATTTACACCCATTGTGTAGTATTGCACCAACGGCAGCATGTATGAAATGCGGCTTTTGAACCATCCAAAAGAGATTAAACTGAAGCTGGATGTGAATATTTAACCCCTTGCGTAACCAATAAATGAAACCAAAGCCTTTAAAAACTGAAAAATTAAGTTTGAAAAGGCACTTGACCCTGGTCCCTTCTTCACACAGACAAGTACAACTTTTACACTATCTATTAAAACTGTAAGGCACTTCATATAAGGTACATCCCGATGTCCCATAACATTAAATACAAATAAAAACAAATTACCCTTCAAATTACAAAAAAGACCTTCCATATATTTCTTTCCAAGCAAATCATGCAATATTACTGTCAGAATTTGATTTGGACAATACCCCATTTGTTGAGTCCAGAAAGTTATAGGTACACAGATGCGCTATATCTACCCTTAGTAAAAGTCATACAAAAGCCATTGGTTGTACATTTGCATTGTTTATAAAGTGCAGATGAAGTTCATAGGCAGTGGTAGTGTGCTTTCGAATTTGGTGGTGAAAAAAAACACAATGATTCCTCGGCAAACCCTTTGTTAAATGTCTTATAACATCAAGCTGTTACAGTATGTTATAGTATGTAAGCAGTCACAGTGTTTCGTAGTGTTGGCCAAAACGACTCTTCATGAACCATTTTCTGTATTTTCTGACCCAACTAGATGGTGCTCTTGGTTTGCTTTGGGGCATGCTTTGAGCACTTTTTTTGAACAGAGAATCACGTACCGGGTCAGAAAACACAGAAAATGGTTCATGTAGCGTCGTCTTGGCCATCATTAGTGTTTCTCCAGTGGCACACATAGGTAAAATCAAGGTAATCACACAGTAGGGGATATGATTTCCGTCTAGACTATGCTGCATTGGATGTCTGTGTTGAGCAGGTTCGGGGAACAAAAATGATTTAAATTAACTTGGGTGTGTAAGTAGGCTGGGTTTTTCTTCCTCTCAATAGCTCTACTAGGTAATCTACTGTCAGCTGGGCCCTATCAAGTTGCGGGTGGAACTAAGTAAGCAGTACTGTGTTGAGCTGTGTGCAGCTCTTTACCCTTCTTAAACCGAAATGAGAGTTGTGTTGATGAGTCTTTCCACATCGATGGAATACTGGGATTTTTTTTTTAGAAACCAAGTACCCGTTCATCATGTAATGTGATATCTGATATATATATATAATATAAACCATTAGGGGAAATCACACTGATATAATTTTGAAAATGTAACCCATCGTGACACTGATGAGCTTTTTCTACTGCCCACAAGGTGGTGCTGCAAGCTTACTGATGATAAACGCAGTGTTACGTGGTGTTGTTAGCAACTAAATCTCATTTAATCTCAAATCACTCATTTAGATTGTTAGCTCAAATTCGACTCGACTCCACTTCTGCTCATGGGCCGTATGATATAAGGCAGTGTTGCTTTCCATTTCCAATAAAAAAAAAGCATTATAAACCTAGAATGTGAACAAAGTTAGGTCAAGAAGAGTAGAATTGCCTTCAGTCCATCGTCATTCAACGCTTCCCATGTTGAAAGCACACTCAGTAGATCCATGTTGTTTAGATAAACACGTTGAAGTGGTTAAGGCGTCATCTTCCTTTAAACACTTTTATCTTGTCTTTGTCAGCCAGCAGCATGGTAATGTTGTATTCGTAATCCCCATCATGCACCCCGGTGTGGCGAAATGCTCCAGCTCCAGGGTTGTTTTCCCAGTAGTGGTGCCAGTTTCCTTTCATGTCCGCTCCAAATCCATAGGCACTCACCTGGACAAGAGCCGTTCATCCATATTTAAGCTCATAAACAAAATCAACTCCAAAAAAACTCGTCATATCAATATGAGCACTAGATGTCAGTATAATACCATCATAAAATGTTATTTATACAGTATTTGTAATAGTGTAGGCCAGTTGGGGAGCCCTGGACTAGAAACAGCTTACCTCGTCACAAATGTGAATGGCAAACATTAAGGCAAGGAAGCCTGTGGAGGGGTACCTTCCATGGTTCTCGAGCCAGGTGTCATAGACATATTTGAAGAAGGTGGGGTTGTACACCAACACCTGCAAATTGTGAGAACATGAAATTATGAGAAGTCATGTTAAGTCAAGGACTAACCATGCAACTGGAGATGAATCATAATTACCTAGTATATATGTGTATATATGACTTAAAACTACGCTCTTCACATAGACTAAAAATGTTAGGTAAAATGTATGGAGAGAATGCTAAGTGCCCTGTCAATGCTTGTAAACATGGAAGTCCAGCTCTTGCAAACATCTCTTGTTGCTGTGGCAAAACAAGTAATAAGCCAAGAACTGGCCACACTGTAAAAAAAAGCCACAATGACAGTAAGGCTGACTTTTTCCGTGGAACACATGGGATATTAAATGTTTAAGGTAAAATATGTGCATATGTCAAACAGTAACTACTGTAATATGGATGCCACGAACCTTTGATAATAAAAAAGTGTATGGAACTGCACAGGCATGAAAAGTGCATGGACCATAAGTCACTGCACAGGCATGAAAAGTGTACAGACAATAAGTCACTGCACAGGCATGAAAAGTGCACGGACCATAAGTCACTGCACAGGCATGAAAAGTGCATGGACCATAAGTCACTGCACAGGCATGAATTCTCCTCATCAGAATAAAATGCGGTCCATTTTTACATGTGACTTAAAGTGGTTACATGTTTTTCCCTATTGGGATTTCCATGACTTTTCCCCTAAGATACACTCGGCAACACAGTTTGACGAATTGTCTTCTGCCACGAGCAAATATATAGGTACGGCTTCTGAACCTCATCATAAGATAATAGGAAATACACTGCTATCTGTATCCCGCCCAAATAAAGCCCAGTGATTCATTTTGTACCCTAAGAAGAAACAGACACAAATGAGTATATTTTACAAGAAAACAAATCTGCAATGAGGAAGGTCTTTCTTCATAAAAACATGCAACCTTTGCTTTAGTGATGCAGTATAAAAATTGAAGACTAGGAGCAGATACAGAGAAACAGTAAGATGAACAGAGTAGTTGAGTAGTGGGAGTTTGCTGAAGGAGTCTCAAAAAAAATGTACACATTATCTCCAAAACTGCAAAAATGTTATATGGCCATTCATAGGTTTGTACAGTGCTTGTCAGGTGTGATGTTGAAGGTGCCATGCCTACAGTATGTCAGATGTACACTGTCCAGCCAAAAACAAAGTTGCCAGAAGATATTTAAAGACCAAATTCTAGATCATTATTACAGCTCAGCAAAGTTTTGCAGCAATAAAGTGAAGTCAGCTGAGTACCTGAATCTGTTGAATGGCCAGGTTATATATCCAGCCATCATCAATGGATTTTTTTCTTCCATTATGTCACGGACATATTCCAGGATGAGAATGGCAAGATTCATCAGGTTCGAATTGTGAAGGAGTGCCTCAGGAACATTAGGATTCATTTTCGCACATGATTTGGCCACCACAGAGTCTTAACCGTAATCCCACTGAAAGTCTTTCAGATGTGCTGCTTAAGACTATCGAGTGGTTCAAATCACTTATCAATAAAAGTTCTCGGTTAGAAATGAATGCAAATCTGGATGAAAATAAGTGTTGAGAAGTTGCATAAGCTTGTGGAAACAATGCCATGACAAATGTGCACCTTAATGAAAGCTAAAGGCGGTCCAACAAAAAATTTAAGTAGCAACCTTTTTCTTGGCCAGACAGCATATGTGTTACTGGGTATCTGGCAGGAAATTACGGTTTTTGTCTTGATGAAGTCTTAAACCATAGGTCGGCCAATGGCAGGTCGTGGACCAGATCCGGCCCGTTTTCCTTTAAAAATCTGATGTAGACAACTATTTAAATAGGCTTACACAGCTTATGCATTTCCCAAGAAATGTAACCTCATGTCTTACTAATTAGTATGCTAAATTCCCACCCTGAAGAGGCGGACACAAACCAAGGCTATATCGTTCTCCGTCTGCACAACTATACTGACTCTTTATTGAGCATTGTTGAAAAAACTGGCCTGTGGTTGAAACTAATTGCCAAACCCTGTCATATACCATATTTTAATATTTTGACAAGTTGCGATTTATGTGGTGTGTATTCAAATGTGAGGATATTAATCCTGAATTATATTACACTAATCTCAGTTAATCCTGAATTATATTACACTAATCTCAGTTAAGGTGCCTCTAGTCACTCACTGCTAGTGGGAAATAAAACAAGGTACTTGCATATGGCTTACCTTATCCTTGTTAGCTTTTATCCTGGATTTGACAGGTACGTAAGTCCTGCAACATAGCAAACAATTGTCAACAACAGAACTAATACTTGTTGAAAATATTCATTTATTTTGCAAAACTGTGTCCTACCATGTGCCAGTATTTATTTTTAAACTAAAACTGCTAAAAGTGACTATTAGCAACCTTGTGACAATTTACATTGGGCTGATAAAAGCTTTATAAATATTGAACATGCAAATAACTACTTATATAAAAGGACAATTTATTAATTTTACATGAATTGTAAGAGACTTTTTCTCTATGTAACAAACACAATACAGGCACAAACACTTTTACTTCTATCTATAGAATGTTTCCAGCTGTCACATGGCATCTAAGTTTGAACAATATTAGCTTACAAGGCATATTTTAACATGATAAATTGCATTTATATCCATTAGATTAAGAGGCTTTGCGGAGTCCAAATGCAATCCTGCGCTTATAAACTGTGAACTTATTCAACCACTCATTCCATTTATAAGTCAGTTAATGCATTGATTGAGAATGGTTTTGTTCTGCTCGGTAACTCAGCACAATAAAAATCATCCAGTGATCAAAGAAGGATGCGGTACAGTATAAACTTTTCATTGAAACTGGTTGAGGAATCATATGGTAGTTATGTCACTGCTAAGCGTCTAAAACGTCATTCTATTTGGTTGTCAATAAGCGTTCCTCCGTGTGAGTAAGTAAGCAGTTGTCTCCGATGTAAGATGTGAAGGTGTCACAATGACATGGAAGAACATGTGAACTCCACACACATGGAGCCGTGGTGGAGGCTTAAACCCTGGTCCCAGAGGTGTGAGGCAACAGTGCTAGCCACTGCACCACTGCATTTCTTATACCAAAAATGAAAAGGAAAGGTGCTATTTGTGTAAGGAACTGCAATATTCACTGTGATGATTAATCAAGGGTTACTTACTGGGTGATGGTACCTGTGGTTAATGCACTGATGATCCACTCCAGGTCCAGGGTCTTAAAGGGGACCAGCACCAAGCTTGTACTGTTCCGCAAATGTTTGGCACTTTCAGGGTACATGAGGTGATGAGTGGTTTTGCTCCCGACATCATCTTCGTAGCCCAATGTAGGAGCATGATTCATTCTATGGAAGAAAAACGTATCAGTCATTCTGCCTTGTAGGGTGGACTTTCAAAAAACGCTGTAAACCAGGGCTATCCAAATCACACGAGCACTGCTGATTTTCCAGCCTCCCTTTACCGGTGAGTCAGGTGTGAATCCTCTGGCCAATCAGAATCAGTAATTATTAAACTAACTACCTAGGAGAACTGAAAACAAGGCCTGGATTTGGAATCGAGGGCCAGATTTGGAAAGTCCTGCTGTAAACTATAACTGCCCAGAACCAACAATCAAAGCTGTGTATGTGCACACTTGTGAGGAGTTAAAGCATTAACATTAATTCAAATTGTAATGTGGGATCAACATAAGCTTCCAATTTTGCCCAGAATCTGACGAGCAGCACCCCCTGGAGGTCAGGGCTTGTCTGATACACTCAATCCTCCCTGCACGGTAGAGGAGGCACTGTTCCTGCCTACCCAAGCCTACCCAGTCTAGCAGTACCAGTCAGAGACCATGTGGCACCCTGGGTAAGCTTTACAGAGGATGCCCCTTGTCTGAGACAAAGTGAAATTGGCTTGCTAAGTCAGTGCCCCCCCTGGAGATGGTGCCCTAGGCAGCTGCCTATGCTGCCTAATGCATTGACTGGTGCTGCATTTTGTTGTTTCTTCTTCCCTTCTTCTCACCTTCATGTCCTACTACTGCTGTCTAGTCTCAAACAGGCTTTTCTAAAGATGACGTTCTACTGTATAAAAAAACAATGAGCTGCCATTGCATATCACAGTTATAGGTATTATGAGGGGGTCATTGGGTTAATGGACACCCTGAACTTTACAGGGTCATGGTGACATTTTGTCAGGGGACCCAGAATTTCTAGCTACTCCCCTAACTAAAATAATATATAAATGCACATGTACAAACATAGTATCAGAGCATTTTTAGCAAAACATGCAATGGATTTAGACTAGCTGTTCCCTTTGATATCTAAACAAGGAAAGGTACCCAGTTGTTTTCCTGTTGACGGCTATTCCCAGCGAGACTGTTTTTCTCATCAAGGAGAGTTGTGTTTCATGTAAGTGAAGAGTAGACTGTTGTGGGACATGACAGCACATTTCAAAACAACACGACTGCTGTTCACACGAAAAGTGTAGTTTATTCGAGACACAAAGTCCAGTCACCTTATAACAAAATCATGCGAGTCGATGCGTGCTCCGTAACTCGATCCCTTGAGGTTCCCAGAATTCCCTACCACCGCGCAGGTCCTGCAGCGACCGGGCTCTGAGTCGATATACCACTCCTCATCGGGAATGAGCTCAAAAAGCCTCTGCACCACATCACTGTAGTTGGCTGGATCCTTCTCTCTCTGCAGCCACTGATGACGGCCAGCAGGGGGAGACAAGAGGGTCAAACTGAAGCAGGTTACCAAGGCAACACAAATCAGCATAGGGAGCCTTTTTAAAGGCCTCTATAATAGACTATGGCTATATACCTCCATCTTCATTTAATTACTAAATACTAAGTAAGCTTGTTTTTTGAACAGCATGTAATTTCCCATACTTTGGATAAACAATATTTGGCTGTTTTGTCGTATGGAGAGTGGGTTGTAATTGGTTGTATTGATTTTAATCAGGAGTAAAATCTTCTTTGCAGTTGACTATGGAAATTTTGAAAAGTACTGCTGCAAACATGTTGACTCCATCACTGCCCTTCCTCATGGGCTGGTTAAAAGGTTAGGGTTAGGGTTAGGGTTAGGGTTAGGCTGTGACCCTCACAGCAACCTGTAAGACTTGGTAGTACAGTTCATGTCAAAATGTAAAGGGGGGAACTGAGGCATTTTCCGAAAGGTTAAAGTGTCCCTCTTGAGACACACGTCTTCACATCAAGCATGGAGTGGTACCACTGTGAAACATGACTGAGAAAAGAGCAAGGTCCCAATCTGCTCCTTGGGGACCCACAGTCGGTCCATGTTTTTGCTCCCTCCGAGCTCCCTGCCAGACAGTTCACATTTTTGCTAGAAGGGTAGCAAAAATGTGCACTGTCTGTGGGTCCTCAAGGACCAGATTGGAAAACACTTGAATAGAAGAAAGCAGAGGAGATGATAGAAGTTAGAGGTAAATCTACCCGCTACGCAGGACACCTGACTATTAGGAGATGCAGGTGAAACGGACTGGCTTTTGCCCAATGCCAGAGGACCTGATCTCATTTACTTTTAATGAATCGTTATGTTAAATTTTTTGGCAGGGGTGGGCCATACAAGTACATAGTGCCGTGCAGGGAACCGTGTGAGTCACTGTCTGCTTTCAGCAAAGCTCGAAACAGCACCCAATCTGCTGCTATATCAAACCCCCGTGTGAAATAATAACTGAAAGGAAAAAAAAAAAACGAATGGTGGCAGCACAAGCCATAATTGGAACTCTTACTCTGATTGGATAAGGGAGTCGTGACATGTGCCGTTAAAGCATAGTTCAAAGCTAGCATGCCCCTGATCCCGCCACCCCGAAATGAATCTCTGGCCTTAATATAATGAAGCTGCATTTTAAACACTTTGGGTAGCAGCCCAGGGACTTCGTTTTATTTACCGGAATATGGGTCCATGTCATATAAAGAAAGTGACTTTGAGACACCCAAATCAAGGCCACCAGTTCCACCATCTTCATTAGGTCTGGCAGTAACACGCCTTTGACGTTAACAGGTCATTCATTATTCAAACAGCTTTGATTTCCCACCCTCTTAATTTCAAAGGAAATTTAAAAAAAAAAAACAGTTTTAAAATGTATCTAAACATAAAATCTTAATCAACAAGGGACCATTTCACAACTAAATGCTTTTGTTAGAGGTGTTATAAGGAAAAATAGTGTGAGTGGTGATAGAAAATCCTCAAGGTAATAAAATCAATATTACAATTATAAATAAACTGAATTCTGGGAAGGGAGCCAACTTCCCTGTAAAGCCAGCAGGAAATCTGTTACATGTTAACCTTAAAAAAATCCACATTAACCAGTCTGAAGCAGGTCTGCAGGGAGCAAACCTCTGGGAGGTTCTTACCTGCCACCAGTTGTAGGTGTCCTCTGTAAGCAGGCTATTCTTCTTTGACAGCAGTGGTGGTATGGACTGGTTAAAGTGCTCACTAAACCAGTCATCATCCATCTGAGTTATACATGTCGTACAGGCACACGGCCCCTTGGGGAAATCGCCGCTGGGCTGTCTGAAGGCAAGTTTTAAGAGGTACAGCGAAGGGTCGTGATAGGTGTAGCTGAGAAAGAGCGTCGTCAGGGAGATGATGCAGAAAAAAGCAAATTTTCGACGATTCCTGTGCTTGATGACAAACATCTTGTAAATTGCAGAAGGTGGGGGGGAGGTGTGTCTCACAGCCAGGGTTCGACAGGATTAAGAGATGCAAGGAGCATGTTTAGGTCATTCACATCATAGTAGCTCACGATCATACGGAAAAAAGAATGTGCAAACCCACAGTACACGAAAGTGGTAATCTGCAAATACAGAGTGTACTTAAAAAGACCGTCTAACACAATTATAAAATAGTTTATCTTAAAGTAAAATGAGCTTGTCCCAGAAGTCTATGTCCCTTTGATGCCAGCTTGTAGAAGAATAATGTCCATGATGTTTCCCGAGAGCCTTAGAAAAAAAAATGAAAACAAATTAAATTTAAATTGTGGAGTTGTGTGCAAATTCATTATTAAGTGGCATTCAGATTTCTTAAAATGATTAAATTACTGACAGAACTATCCCATTTGATCTACAGGTTCCAGTTTTCTCTGAGCCGGGTGTGAGGACTTGCAATGCCGTGTCTGGTGTTGAGAGCTCCTGATTCTCTCTCTCTTCACAGCCTCTCACCTGAAACAAAGAAAAACATGTTTTTTAAATGTCACAAAACAATGAAATCACATATTTTGATACATCAGAAAATAAGGATCACTGACCGCATGCTACAAATTGAGTAAATCCAGCAGTCTAAGTAGGTGGGGAAATTAAAATAAAATATTTATTAAGTACACCTAGCTAGTACTGGGTAGGACCCATTTTATCTGATATACCTCGATAGTAGCAGGTATGACCCCTTCTTGACCCCAAATAAATCCCAAAAGAGTAAACAGTGAAAACAATGTTACTCTGAGTTACATCAATCTCTGAATCGTGTGGAAAGTAGAAACTTCTTTCCTGTATAGATTCAAAGTTGACCTGCCAGCAATCTGTCCTTAGTATCCTTCATCAAACACCCGGAGTTATCCCTCTGGAGTTGCCGGTCCCGTCCGCGGGACCAAACAGAAATCTCGCAAAACCATTTAAAAAACTGTGCTTTTTTTTGTCATAGAGACATTTTATAAAAAAAACACCCCCAGACACCTTGAATGAATATTTTTAGAGCTTTGTAAGGAGAATAAAAAGTACAAGAGTTACTGACTCGGGTGTCAGTCTCGAAACTGCCCACCCATTTGAAAAACAGTGCTATTCAATATGATAACGACATGATAGTCTTGCAGGAAAGACACAAAGTACGCCGAACGCTACAATTAAAGAAAACGAAGAAAAAACTGAAAGCTAATGGCCGTGTTTGATGGGTAGAGACTGGATCTGCCGCCTGGTTACATCTGAATAGAGTCTCAAATGAAACTGTTGATGAATTGTGTGACTGGTATGCCTCAGAACTAGGTATGGTAAAAGGAGTAGAAGCGAAACTTTATGTGGCTGAAGGAGCAGTGGCAAATTTTTGTCAAGTGCGCACTGTACTGTATGCCCTTAGAAACGCAGTGGAGAAAGAGCCAGCTAAACTAGAAGCTGAAGGCTTAATCTCTCCCACTAGCTACAGTGACTGGGCAGCTTTTATTGTGTGAAAAAAGGACTGCAGTGTATGTGCAGACTACAAGGTAACAACTAATCCCTGGTTAGAGGTAGAGCAGCATCCTTTAACTAGAACTCAGGGCAAGTTTGCAAAGTCGTCAGGTGTTTGGAGCTTTACCAAACTTGACTTGTCACGAGCATATCAATGGGTACCACTGGAAAAAAGCTCTACGCATTACTTAATAGTGATTGTTTGTTTACAGTCGTCTTCCATATGGGGTTTCCAGCACACATGCAATTTCCCAAAAGGTAATGCATCAGGTATTACAAGGTTTGGATGCTGTTATTTCTTATCTCTATGACATACAGTATTGATAACTGGTCATGACACAGAGACACACATGAGGAACTTAGACGAGGTGCTCAAGAGACTTGAATCTTACAGCCTTAGGGTAAGGAGAGACAAATGTTTCTTTTCAGAGTAGTGTGTCTTATTTGGGGCATGTTATTGATGCAACTGGGATTCACCCCATTAAGGAAAAAACTGAAGCAGTTGAAAAGGCTGCTGTTCCCAAAAATGTAACTGAGCTCAGGTCCTTTTTAGCCTTGTTGAATTACTATGAGAATTTTTTTTCCAAACCTTCCAAAGCAAAAATGTGAACTGTCCGTAGGCTCCCAAGTACCAGATTGGGAAACACGGATCTAAACTAAAGGCCCCTCTGCAGGCACAGCTAGCTGTAATAAACCCCTGAGTTTTGGTATATGTTTACGATCTTCCAATTTTTATATAGGCAATCTCCAAGCTAACAGTGACCCACCTGCATTCTGTGCCTCATTAGCCAGCAGAAATGATAAGTACTAATATTTACTGATACTTATTTCAGTATTTATTTGCAGCACATACACGGCAAACGCGAAACGTTACAATTTATACCCACAGCAATGCCTGTACAACAGGCTTCAAGATACTAAATGCAAATAAAGAAGCGCAGATGTTGCATAATAATATTCAGCAATGTCTTTGAAAACTGTAACGTCCTCCGATATGTTTGAGTCCCTCGTGTAGATCAGGACATCCTGTCACACTATGAACTTTCAGACTTGGCTGTTTTTGTTAAGTAGGGCTGCAGCTATCAATTATTTTAATAATCAATTATATTGATTATTGTCAATGTTGGGAACTATTCATTGTCCCTATGACCCGGAAGTTTGCCGGAAATTTCTCTGCCATTTTTTGCAATGGGTCCCTATAGGAGTGTCGCCAATCAGTTTTTTCTACCGCTCTGCCACACATAGTGCAACGTACGCACACTGTACGACAGTTACAATTCTCCGTGTGAAACATGGTGATCACTGAGAAGTTAATAGTCGTGCGGATTAAACGAAGCAAATAATTTACATGGAGGATTATTTGTAATTGAGTTATTCGAGTTCCTCTGAATCGTTGCAGCCCTACTGTTAAGTAAATGTAAATATCAAACAACAGCGCTAACAGACAATGCATTAGGTCAGGGGTGGGCAATCTTGACCGCAAAGGGCCGGTGTGTGTGCAGGTTTTTGGGATAACCTTTAGGTCAGCTGTTCAAACCCAGGTGTGAGGACTCTTCAGCCAATCAGTCCTCTAATTAGTAATATAATTAGGGAGCTGCAGTGAAAACCCGCATACACACCGGCCCTTTGCAGATAAGATTGGCCATCCCTGCATTAGGTATTAAGTGGTATACTGTATGACGTGGGGGTGGGACATGGTGTTCTGGTCACATGATCAGCTCTCTCATTCATTTCCCAAATCATATAAGGTCAGACCTCAAGCTGGTCAAATTTACATTCACTCCTATATCCGTATTATAAGGTCTTTATTCCTATCTTTCAATCCTCATTTCACATGGTTCTGTCATTCATTATCTGAAAGAACATTCTTTGATGCCAAATAAAGATAATGGGAAATATGCAAATAGGAACTGTTTCAGGTATTTTATGAGAAATTACACTTCTGTCTGAAACTGACGTGAGAAAATGCTAAAGGTTGAAACTGCCGAAGAATAGTAAGTCACTACTGATTTCATGGTATTATGATGTTCTATGAGTACTATGATGGTCTCTGTACTTAGACTATACTTAGACTGAAAGTGAAACCACAATCGTTAACTCAGGCTCTCACTTGTCCGGTGTGAATTAAGACCACACAGGCACACAAGAGTCTGATCACACACCATTAATATCCAGGTATGGGTTCAGTCAAGGTGATATTAATTAAGTTAATTGCTCTTCCCTCATTCGCCCACTGGAAAAATAAGAATTCTGAAATACAAAAGGTTACTTTTCAAATTAAAAAGAACATTTCAATTTAAACAGAGTTCTGAGCTGAACTATTGCTAAAATACGAGTACTACGCAATGAAAGGTTTTACTTTAAGAACCATTCATGAAAAATGGAAATTTGTATCATTTGTATAAATTGGGCAACTTATTTACAATTGCATCCATGAAACTGACCAAGATGAGCTAAACGATGGATGGATGAATGGATAGACCGACCTTGCAAAAGCAAAACTGTCATCCTGTTTACTTTGTGCTGTGATGTCAAACCGGAGAAAGACCATCATCATTGTTCCCCCATATCCTTGGTCATGTTCACATAGGGTCGGGCCATTTCCGATACAAGAGCTCTTTCTACTTTAATAATATAATAAGTATTGTTTGTGTTTATATATTTATACATCTTATTAATATTTTTACATATGAAAAATGTATGCCAAAAAATCTTTAATTAGGCAACTAGAAGCCTCGTTTCTACATTTTGTTTTGAGCATCAATTTGAATATCTTCCAAGAGAGCGTACGCAACTGGCGAATGCTTAAAATGCCCCACAATTTTCCTCCACTCTGTGTGTGTGTGTGTGTGTGTGTATGTATATATATATATATATATATATATATATAATATCATCTATTTTTTCTGCCATATAAATATAAAAAATCTTCAGTGTGACAGATGACTGCAAATGATCTTCGGCAGTCAAGTTTTTCTTCTAAATCAGGTCACAGAAACAGGGACCATTTTTTCTTCATTGACAAGAACCTAATTTAAAAGTACCGTGGCAGGCATTTTGGCACTTACTTGTGAAACAAGGATCACCAATTCCTGTTTATCATTTTGCTTGCTTAGCTTTTAGAATGACTTGTTTTACATATCCAAAATGAAAAAAAAAATTAACAAATTGTACCAAAACTACCACCACAATGCAAGACAGCATTACTGGCCAATATGATATTAGCAATATGCTGATATGCTGACAGTCAGCATAATGTCAGGATCTATTACAATGTAATAATTCCACCCATCACTAATACTTGGCACAGTTGAGGCTTATTCCATGCAGCAAAGGTTATAAGGCAGAACTGTCCCTGAATGGGATACCAGGGCATCACCAAGCAAACACAAACATATCATGGGCAATTTAGAAAAGCCAATTATCCTAAGTACATATGGGGGAAGAATGCCAGACGACACAGAGGTAGCAGGCAGACAGGAAGCAGCAAACAGGAAGCAGGAAGCAGGAAGCAGGAAGCAGGAAGCAGACTCCAAAACCTGGAGGTCTGTGGATACGCTGCAAACCACTGGGCCACAAGTCAGCAACGACTTCATCTTACTTGTGTGAAAGATCCCTCCCCTTTCTACTGAAAACATCATACCATCAAATATGCACATTGATATTTCATATTACTTTGCATTTTAATATTCAAATTTTTAACATTGTTTTGCCCTATAAAACAGGAACTGACTGGATAAACATTCTCCAACACTTCTATGGCTCTTCAGTTAAACGTTCTAGATAATAATAGCCTCATTACAGTCCTTAACGACAATCCTCAAGGGCCACAGAAATTGACTTGCTACCCACAAAATTATTTTAATAAAGCAATTATTATGAGGGTGAGCACACACCAGAACGTCTTTTGAACGTTGAAGATCAAGCTAGGAGCCCAGAAAACATTCCTAATACATAACCTTGGAAGAGGTAATGATATATAACTGCCTGAATGCCACTTTAGG